TTTCCATTCCGTTTAGAATTAAGTCAAAATCATCCATCATGGCCCTCAAGACCTGAATGATCTGTCCCTGAAGACCTCTATAACTTCAGATCCTAGCACTCTCAAGGCTTCTGGAAACCAGGATTTCCTGCTAAACAGTGGGAGGGTGCTGTTAAACTGATGTTCTAAACTGGCATTGTTGAGAATCATGGGGACATGGTGATCTTACAAAGCAAATCAACTTTTAKTCAGTTTTATTGGTCTTCAAATACTGCATGAACAATGCATCCTCCTCGCTTACATCTAGAGGGACTGCTCTCCCCAGAGCTTCCTTTGCATACTTCTCGATTATTCCAAGCAGTCCTGACTCATTTGTGCTTTAGAGTCTCCACATATACACTCTCTGGCACACTTTTTCTAAACTTCCCAGGACTAAACTCTTACTTCTCAAAGCTCAGCGCAAACGTCACTAAGAGGAGATTTTTCAGGTGAAATCTAATTAGATATATACACCTCTCCTCAACCCTCTTGTATACTCTCATAACCTTCTTGCTTCCTTGATTCTTCTTTTCACTATTAATAATTACTTTTTTCAAGAGTTATGCTCGTTGTTTTATTGGTTTGGGTTCTTTGTTTGTTTACATTATTGGCTCCAAGAAGTCAAGGACTATTTTTCTTTTATTTACCACTAATTCCAGGAATTAGCATATGCCTGGAATGTAGTATGTGCTTTAAAAAATAATTAAATAAATGGATAGGTGAAGGAATGCKTAAATGTATAAATTTTCAGTCCTAGTTGCTTTTCACACATTAAAGTTTTCATTTCCTTTCTGAAATGAGACTTATCACAACACTATAATTTGTAAAATTACTTATAGTATACAAGGAAAGAATTATAGAACCAATGAGATAGAAACCCATACTCCTTTTGCATACTGAATGCCAAAAACTTGCTAGTGGCTCAATATGTAAATAAGGCAGATAGAGTGCTTGGAAGATTTGAGGGAGGCAATTTTTTTCCATTGTCTTTGGCTTGCCTTTTCCCACATCATAGAATAACACATTAATTGCTGAGCTGAATCTCATGCAGGTTCTTTTTTTTAAATTTTTTAYTTTTTTTATAAGTATAAAAACTGTGCACCAGAAAGGTTAAATAACTTCCTTCCAGTTTCACAGAATTCCTGGCACAATCAAGACTAAACTCTAGGTGTTCTTGACTTAGAGTTCCAAGACCTTCCCTTCAGCCATATCTCTATTCTTATCTCCCCTGGGTTCTCCTCCTCATTTGCATCAATGAGCTTTCCTAATAAGCCCTTCTCAGCCTAAATTGTTCTCTCTAGACAGGGTATGTGTCAAAATAATCCCTCATTTCTTTGAAATGTATTCCCTTTTTTCTATGGTAATAGGAGCTTCTTTGAAAAAAATAGATCCTTTCCTAAAGAATTAATATCAAGTGTGTGTGTGTGTGTGTGTGTGTGTGTGTGTGTGTGTGCATGAATGTGTGTGTGTTCATGCATGCCCACACGTGCATTTTTCTGCTCATAGCTAATCTTGTAATTAGACCTCCCCAACACTTAAAAGCATATATGTAACAATTTTCAAGTTTGGGGGCCCATGTCCACAGCTGACAAGGCCAACAGTCTATGAAAGTTATATAGATCTGCTAACAAGTTCTGTTCCTGAGCTTGTTAAGTTCTCAACATCTTCCTTTTTTCCAACTTTTGTAATATTTTTCAGTACAGCAATCTTCTGCAAGGAAGAGCCCTGGCAGGATAGTACAGTGGTTAAAACCAACCACCATGGGACTTCAGATGTAGCTCAGTGGTAGAGTTATTTGCCTACCATGAGTGAAGCCCTGGGTTCCATCCCCAGCACTAAAAAAGAAAAA